GAGCTCCAGAGGGTGAGTATAGGCCAAGAGTCTGGCAGGACTGGGAAGGCTGGCCACTGGTGGCAGGCAAGGCACGAGGAGGATCAAGGCGAAGCACAAGGAGAACCAGGACAGGACTGAGAAGACCAGGACAGGACCGAGGGAACCAGGACCGAGGAGACTGGATCACTGAAGACAAGAAATTGGGTAAGTAGATTTACGAGTAGTAAATATACAGGCCGGAGGTACAAATACCATTGTTGGCTAATGCTCCAGCGAAGAGTAGCACTGGACTGCAGCCTTATGTAGTGAAGGTCCTCATCAGGGTGATGGCCGACAGTAGGTTTTAATTAACAGCCATCTTGGACGAGGAGCTGCATCAGTGGTACTCTTACAGGAAGTCTTCACAGTCGGGGCTGCAGCACGAAGTTTCACGCACTCTTCATACTCCACTTTATGACGTTGTTTTAAATGGTGGAAAAGGTTCATTGTGCTCGATCCTTTCATCGGGACCTGTTTACGGCATTGTCTACAGATTGCATTTGTCTGCTGCTCAGTTGACACATTTAATCCAAACCATCTCCAAATAACGGAGCCATTATTTTTTTCCTGCTCACCAGTTCTGCGACTTGGTCTCTCTCCATTTTGTGACTGTGGCTGCTTATGTGCTGCTCCACCTGGATAGAAGCAGGAAGCAAGGGGAGAGCGTGCAGGTAGGGGCTGGGTTACTAGTGAGGGAGAGGAGTAGGGACGTGAGGAGGGGGCACTGTATTGTGGGAGAAGAAAGAAGAAACAGCAGAGCCAGTGGTTTTCAAGTAGAACTATATCATTTATATCGAAATAATGTCAATTTATATCGCTAATTAAATTTATCTCGATATTTTAAAAATATTGATATATCGACCAGCCCTATGTTAGCCTATTTTGTTGTTTGTTGCTCGTGTTTCTTTGTTAGCTCTGATTTAAATATCTGTGACATAATACTTCAGAATATCTCTGAACAATTCCCTTTTCTTTTAACAATACAGTAATGGCTTACTATGAGCTCCTTTGTACTTTCCTCCTTTTAGAATAGAAACCATTAACTGATAATGGATGTTTGGCTGCTTTGGTTGTTGTGTGTGTTGGCTAACCTCGATAACTGTGACAGCCATCTTGCATTGGATTGACTAAAAGTTAACCATTTGTAGATATCAAAAAAGTTAAGTCTGGTCCTCTGGACATTCAAAACACAAAACAAATCAAAACAAAAAAAATGTAGAAACGTTTTGTCTTTCATCCCAAAGATTTCTTCAGTCTGAGGCGTTGTATTCAGCTCAGCATACAGCACTTCAGACTGAAGAAGTCTTTTGGATGAAAGACAAAACGTTTCTACATTTTTTTGTTTTGCTTTGTTTTGTTTTTTGAATGTCCAGAGGTCCAGACTTAACTTTTTTAGATTTTTCTACAAGGATTATTGAGCATGCATCAGGACATTTGCAGATATATTTCCAACTTTCTGAAAGTTTCATTAAAATGCTTCCAATGGTTCACAGGCAGAGCTTCTAGTTACATATTTTCCAGGAGCAATTTGAGATAAGTTGGCCTGTCCAAGGTCAGCGGGGAGGCCAAATTCAGATAAACAAAGAGTTGTTTGGGCCACCAGACTCTGTTTTCTGTCTGCCTTCAAGTTATGCTGATATACTCAATGGTGAATCCAAACAGCCAGATTAAATTCAGTTCAGTTTATTTATATAGCACCAAATCACAACAAAGTTGTCTTAGGGCACTTTACAGGAACATTCACATACATAGAAAAGCAATTCAGTAAAGTTCTTTATCTAAGGAAGCAGCAGACAAGTCGAATCTTCACTTTGTCACAGTCTCCCATCCTGAGCAAGCACAGTGGCAACAGTGGAAAGGAAAAATTCCCTTTTAAAAGGAAGAAACCTCCAGAAGACCTAGGCTCAGGACATTCAGCCATCTGCTTTGACCGTCTGGTTTGAAAGGACAGAAAGGAGAGACGAAAAAACACAGAATGGTAGGTCCAGGTATAGGTCCAGGTGTACCTGAAAGACAAAAAACACGTTAAGGATAGAAAAAATAATTAAAAATACAAAACAGGTTGAGCAGAGTAAGTAAATACAGTAGTATAGTGAAAAATGTGGTCAGTTGGTCCTCCAGCAGTCTAAGCCTATACCTAAGAGACAGCTCAGGAAACCCAAGCCCACCCTAACTATAGGATTTAGCAAAAAGGAAAGTCTTAAGCCTAGTTTTAAAACTGGACAATGTGTCAGTCTCACGGACAGAAACTGGAAGCTGGTTCCACAAGATA